TAAAGAGATGAGACTATAATTGATGAAGCAAAGAGGTTAAGAAACGAACCTAAAAGAGCTTAATGGACGAGATAAATAGAATTGAATGGAAGAATAGAATCTATGTAGCAGATCCCAAAAAATTCAGATAAAGGCTTTGTTGTTGTAACAAAGAACACAAGCTTCATTGCAATCATCAATAACAAAACATGAATCCATCACCTTGATCTACAAACAGTCTACAGCACAACAGATAAGCATTTTTGCTCAACTGGCACGAAAAATTCATGTGTGCGGTACTTAACAAAATAAAATTTTCATTGTAGCAATAGTTGCATGTAAAAACTAAAATGTCTGCATATTATTACAGTGTAATCCCACTAAACAAACATAAGTAATAAAAACTTGCATATTATTACAGTGTAATCCCACTAAACAAACATAAGTAATAAAAACTATGTTTCTTCTGATCGAAACTTGAAAGTTATCAAAGCAACATCCCCAGAGAAAAAGAACCCCCTCACACCTGACAAAAATATGGGAGAAATAGAGTTTATTAAGCTATATAATAAATAATATAAGGTTGATCACAGATAGATCCTCTAATACTTTGGTGGTCTAGCCACTTCAACTCCTAAACTATTATATGAGCACTTACACTCTCAGAGCACTTATACTCTCAAATGACATTATTTTTTAACCTCAATTTAGAGCACGAATTACAGTTTTTTGCATTAAACTGAAAGTGAACAGCAAGTATTACCGCCTGGTTCCCATGTGGCATGTCAAACCAAATAGGAGAAAAAATGTCGCAAGGAGTTCAGGGGGTATAAGTGCTAGAAAAGTTCAGGGGATATCAGTGGCTACAAACTCTTAGTACGGAGAGTGGATTTGCGATTAACATTAATATATACTGGTGGAGAAAGACGCAACTAAAAATTTGCAGGCTTTCTTTTTCCAAGGAAAAAATTTACAGGGTTAAGATTTGATATTTGAACCTTAAGCATCAGATGATTTAACAATGAAGTTCTGTCGACTAATAGGATTCATGATGACTGGAGGTCCAGCAGTTCGAGGCCAAGCCTGAAATTTTTTATCGGTTTCTTCCCACCATTCTTTTTGAGTGATAGTGCTCGGAGTGGAACCTGTTTATAAAGGGAGATTGTACTTTTAGGCCTCTCTTAGTTATAAATTCTAACAAGATTTCAATAAATGCAAGTATTTTGTAGCAGTAAAGCTGACCTCCAAAGATCTTTTTATCAGAAATTGTTGTATCACAAACATATGCGATTACAAAGGATCCTGCAAGAGCTCCAATGATCTTTGCTGTTGTCATCTTAAACCTCTAAACCTGCAGCTACATAGAAATGTAACTTACGACAATGAAAGATGGAGCGTGAAATGCAACGCTAGGCGATGGCAAGATATAAAGAAAATGTACGGAAGAGAAAATAGTAAAAGTTAAAAATTAATCCATCTATATACAGTTATTATATTTGGATGGTCTTTAAATCCAAAAAGTGGGGCATGGTCTTTAATGTTTCTTAACTACATGCATCAGATGCCCATTACCCAAATTCAAATCCCAAAATATCCTCTTCGTATTCTCCTTATATTCTCACCCTTTTACCTATTTAAGATCATATCATAACTAAACATCACATAGAGCTCATTCTATGTTGCAGGGGTATGGGTACCAATGCGGGTACAGAAAACAGAAAATTTATAAGAGGGTACAGGGACACGATTATATAAATATTTATATACACATATGATTTTATATTAAAATTAATATTTTATATGAGAACAAGGATAAGAATTAAATTTTCCATAATATCTTATGTTTCTTTTATTATGTAGATTATAAATTGGAAAATCACTAGTTTTTGAGCTAGATATCCAAACAACCATTCATACTCATAATTCAGAACATGACCTATGTCCAACAAATTTCAAGAAGTGGACTTGAAGTATAGGATATATGTTGGAAAAATAGATGACAAGTGTTTTAAATTTAAACGTGTTGGGTATAATTAAGTACATGCCCGAAGAAATGCTTGCATGTATGCAAGGAGTTTGGGCACGGTTACGGCTACGTGTTAGGTACAAGTACGGCTTCAGATTAGAAGTAATCAGGTAACATGGAGTTCGCTCAATAGAAATATCATAGATATTTTAAGAAAGAAAGACTACTGCCACTAGTAGAGTTTTGGGAATCCTTGACGGCTATTAGCCACCAAGGATGTCGCCATCAAGGATGTTAACATCCTTGACAAGGAATTCAATATCTTTGATGGGGGCCCATCACAGATGTCTTCGACACACAATAACAAAATGGTGGGAGACTACCCCTAATTTTTTCACCCAAAATCAAGTCTAATCTTATCTTTTTTTCCTCTCTCACTCATCTCTTTTCTCTTGTTTCTGTTTTTTCTCCACTCAAAACCCACCTGACCGTCGCCGTCTTCGACTGCCGAGCGCCGACCATTGACTGCTTTCGTCGTCATCGTTGTCCATGGGGCGTGGTCCACCGCCGCAGCTCGTTCGTTGGTTGTGGTCGCCACCATCGCTCGTCCGTGGGTTATGGTCGTGGTTTGCCGACCATCGCTTGTCGCCGCTCGTGGGTTCACCGCTCGTGGGTTGTGGTCGTCGTTGTCGCCGCCTCCTCTTCCTATCCTCTAAGAATTTTTCATGTTAAATTTTACTTTTTAGTAATTATTATGTTTTATTGTTTTATTTTGTTTAAACTACTCAAATTCAAAGCCCTAATTACCTTAAACCTAATTCAATCCCTAACTTTAAAACTCTAATTCAAACCTAATAAATATAACAAGAACTATCCTCATCCTAAACCCTAATAACATTACAATAAGTCTAGAACTCTAATTAAATTGACTTTTACCTTAATTTTATCTTTAATAAAACTAATTTATCTTTACTAACCCTAATCATACTTCTAATAACCCTAATTGAACAAATTACTTAAATTATACTAATGTTTGCTGACATAGGTACATCCAATGATAGGATGGTAGATGATACATGAACAATGTTTGCTGATATGTTACCTATACCTACTATAGATGAATCTGAACATGTTGAAGATGCTGAAGTTGTAGAAAATGTTGAAGATGTGAACAATCCCAAGAACTTGGCTCGGATGATGAAGCTAATATAAGACAACAAAAATTGTATGAAGTTGCACCTAGTTCATTAAATTATCATTTATATTGCAACTTTTACGTATAACGACCCTTAGTAGAATGACACATAAATATTTTAATATGTTGTTTAAATTGTTGCGAAAAGTAATTTCGAAAGGAGAAGAGAGCATACCAAAAAAATATTCTAAGGCGAAGAAGATTGTTTCTACTGTAAGACTTGACTATAATAAGATCGATGCATGCCTTGATGATTGTATCCTTTACTATAAGGATAACAAAGACCTTCAGGATTGTCCAACTTGTGGATTATCACGGTGGGTACCATTGTTATAAATATCGGTAAATAACCCCACAATAGCGGCGCTAATAGCGTTAGCGGTCCCTTCCCGCTACGCTATCGCCCAATAGTGATGACATATTGCGGAATATGCGCTTTCCTTTTGTAAAAACGACCAATAGTGTGTCATAACGGTAAATAGTGGGCGATTACATACGAAATCCGCTTTTTGACTGCTATTTAAAACTGGTTTGTGGTTTATTTTTTAAAATTAAACTCGACCATTGACCATTGCATTCTACCGTCTCCTGTAATTTTTGGCATACTCCCGCCACCTCTCATAACCTCTGGCACTTACCTCAATATTTTCTCTCACCTCCTTCACCGTAAGTTTCTCTTAGGACGGTCCTCTCACCGCTCAGCTCTTTTTCTCGAAGACGACGACTCTTTAACTTCTCCAGTCATCTTCGGTATTACGTGATGGTTATATGTCTATTTATGTTTAGGATCTCTTTAAATCATCAGATATGTACTTTTAGATTTTTTTTTTTTATTCTTTTTTTTAGTATTTATACATATCTAAATTTGATCGCTATTTGACTTTGCGTTTTTTACCAGTATTTTACTGTAATAGCCTTAAATAACCTTAACGATACCTCACCGCTACGCGACGCTATCCGCTATCGATAACATTGGTGGGTACAACGCATAAACCATTCAACATAAACATCGAACAAAGACTGTGCTTAAACAAAAAAGATTCCAGCAAAGGTACATACCCATTTTCCCTTAATACCTAGATGCAGAGATTGTATATAAATATACACTGCTAGGAGTATGAGGTGGCAAATGGAACACAGATGAAGGTAAAGTCAGACATCCAACTAATGCAAAAGCGTGGAAGCATGTAGACCAGATTTTTTCTTAGTTTGCAAATGAGTGCAGAAATGTCAGATTAGGCTTAGTTAGCGATAGATGCAATCCATTTGGGCTTATGAGTTTGGGTTCGCCTACATGGTCTGTTGTACTAATGCCTTATAATTTGTCACTTGCCTTTGTATGAAATAACCATATATGCTCCTTTCATTGTTGATACCAGGAAAACATGCATCGGGCAATGACATAGATATCTTTTCAGAGCCACTAATTGATGAGTTAAGACAGCTCCGAATGAAGGGATTTTCTAACCTACGCCAATCCGTGTGGTTGGTCTACGAAGGGGACATATGCTTGTCCAATTTGTGGTTCTGAATTTAAAGATCTTCATTTGCAATACATGCTGAAAGCTTTGCTATTAGTTTAAGAGAAGATCGTTAGATCAGAAGCACAAATAGAGAACAAAAAGATGGAGCAAGTTCTTTAGTGGGACTGTTGAGAAGAGGGATGCATCTTGTTCATTAACTGGAGATCAAATTGTGCATTTGCTTGGGAACTAACAAAAAATCAAATTTGGGCAAAAAACATTATTCAAAAGACGATTACTCAAAGTAAGAAACTTGCATCCATTCAAAAGGGAAGTGAAACAAAAGAGATCAGCACAAAGAGTGAATGATGAGAACAAAGCTATAAAGTTGCCAGCAAGTTGGACAAAATTCAATATTTTCTTTCCACTACCTTACTGGAAAGAGCTAAAAATATGACACAACTTGGACGTCATGCACATAAAAAATATATATGTGATAATCTTGTGTCAACATTAATGTAAGATGGTAATAAATCAAAGGATGATCTGCGAGCTCGAGAAGATCTAATTGCATTGAACATCAGAGAAGAACTGCAACTGAAGAAGATTGCTGGACATAATAAGTACGAGTTGTCTGCGTATCGTATTACAATGTCGAAGACAGAGATGCAAATATCTTGTCAAGTCCTTAAATTAATAAAGTTGCCGGAGAGTTTTTCTACGAACATTTCAAACAATGTCCAAGTGCAAGAGAGAAAGCTATTAGGACATAAAACTCATGATTACCATGTCCTTCATCAATTGCTCCCGATGGCACTTCGCAACATGACACATGATAAAAAAGCAATGAATGTTATAATTGATTTCTGTGGATTTTTCAAGAAGTTATACTCTAAAGTTGTAAATCTTTGTGACTTTGAGACTTGGAGAAATTGTTTCAGAAACACTTTGCGAAATGGACTTGCTCTTTCCTCCATATTTTTTACAATCATGATCAATCTTACACAACATCTTGTAGAGGAGGTTGCACTAACGGAGCCTGTCTATTATCGATAGATATACCCAATAGAAAGGTTAGTATTTTGGAATTAATAAATTTTTATTAGTCATTATTTACATCTTTACCTAATAATTTGTCATTCACTTCTTTTAGATGTTTGGGTTTGATAAAACGCCAAGTGCATAATAAAGCTCGTTCAGAGGGTTCAATTGCTAAAAATTATGTAGCTAGCAAATGTCTATTATTTGTCGGTCGTTATATGAGGACAGTACAAACTGGACTTCAAACACGTGCTGATAATAACGATAACACAACTCTTTACCCTCATGGGCTAAACAAAGAGCATTCTAACTTTTTGCTAGATCAAGCTCATGCATACGTATTAAACAGTTTGGAAATCTTCTCTGAATATCGAAGGTAACTAACACTTAAAATATATTTAATGATATTTAGTTAATTAATTTAAATTTGATAATAGAAACTTATTTGTTGTATTAATAGGTAGCATTAAGAAAAGCTAAAGAATGAAATAACCGGTGGCACATCAACACACGACATCAAAGCAAGATATATGAAGGAATTTTCTGGTTGAATCAAAAATGAATTAAGTTTACTAAATTTAACAATGTTTAAATTTTGAACAAATAAATCGTGTAAATATTATTTTTAATGTTTTATCAATATTGATTTTAGATTCGAAAACTTGTGGGTGATAATCAAATATCTG